TTCAGATGGACAAACAGAGGCTCCCTTTGTCTGAAGAGGTAGCTGCCAGCAGCACAGGCAGGATCCTGGGATCATCTGAATTCTAGTTGCTATAGCAACCACCTGACACCTGGCTGGGTCAGAGATACGGACCTGGGGACATGGGGTTCTAACTGCTACAGCTGCTTTTTCCGATGAGTGTCGACAGGCTCCAGACAGGAGAAGGAAAAACAGAGCAGAAGGATTTGGGGAAAGAGGCAGGGGAAATCCTCAGACTAGCATGTTTGCATTTCTGTGGCACTTGCTGTGTGCCAGGAGCTGTGTAGGCTCTGTTCCCAGAGTCCCTTTCAGCTACAGGAGAGCACGCAGGCTGAGCAGGCCCAGGGCGCCGTGGTCTTCCACTGGGAGCCTGCCCTGGTCAACAGCAGGTTCCACATGAAGTCATATCCTCTGCCATGGGGACAGGACGCAAACAGGCCAGGGACAAGAGGCTGGTTTGTATACCTTGGTCCCGCAAAGGGCTGGCCCTGGTCCCAGGGACTGGAGCCCCACCCTGCCCAGTCTGACTTTCAATGAGCCTTTTCTGAAATTCTCCCCGGACAGAAACCTGAGGCCAGGTGGAGGAAGCCCTTCTCTGAGGATGACCGTTGCCATGGGCACAGCCAGTCTCCCTGGCTTGGCTTGGCTTGGCTTGGTGGCCGGCTGTGGGCTGATTCCCTTCTTCCCGGCAGCCCCACCAGCCTGGTAGCCTGTGGGTGTGGCCGAGTGTCAGCTGGCCAGGGTCACCTCAAAGATGACCTCCATTGGGAGGGGGCACCTGCGTCAAAGGACTTCGGGGTTTCCCAGCTGGGCTTCTGCCTGCAATTGTGAACAAACCCTTTCTGGAGAGAGGACCATGACTTTCACAGAGGTGGAGATACCTCCCAGCCTGGCCCCCGCCCACTCCACTCTGTCTGGCCAGGAAAAGGCACAGCCTGGTTTGGGGCAGGGAGGGGGCAGCCTCTTTTCTGAGTCACATGGGGGACTTCTGAGGTCCTGGCTGACAGCTTTTTAAACTGTGAATTAGTTTTGTCACCTTCTAATTTCTTCCCCTACCTGAAACTCCCCTCCAACCTCCACACGTCTGAATTTCAGTCTCCCTGGCTCTTGGCTCTGGTCACCTTGGCCTCTCTGCCCTTCCATGCAGCTTCCTCTTGCCTCAGGGCCTTTGCACTGGCTGTTGCCAGTCTCCCTCTCACTTTCTGTCTCTCTAACCGGTTCTTTCTTTCTCTTTGGCTCTCAGCTCAGCTTTCACTCCCTTAGGGAGTTCCTCCCTGCCCAGCATCGTCACCCTCAATCTAAATCCTCGCTCCACCATTGTTCCCCATCCTTCAGCCCTCCTTGCTGTCCCTCACCACCCACTTCACTCTCTGGATTTATTGTGCATCTCCCCCTTGCAGGATCCTCTGAGCCTAGTGCAGGGCCTTGCACACAGTGGATGCTCAGCATACAGGGGCTGGGAGACCCTGTCCTCCAGACAGTCCTCCCGGATCAAGGGCTGGTGAGGGTTAACCATCAGCTATGGGCTTCCAGGGCCCCTCAGGTGCTGTGTTAAGTACTTTGCATGGGTGAGGCCATAACAGATGTTGATTTCCTGGATTAGAAACATAAACCAGGGGCTGCTGGCCGTTTAAAGAGGTGTCTGTGGCATCCTGACAGAACTGGCTGGAGGGAGCAAGCTAATCCTTGAATTTTAAAAGTGAGGAAACAGAGGCCCTGGGGGAGAAGTGACTTCCCCGGAGTCACACAGCAGCTGTGGGCAGCGAGAGGGCTGCAGCCAGGCTGCACAGTGTCTCTGGGCTGTTCCTTGCGGATATACACCCACATGGGCTAATCTGTGTAATATTGAGGGGGCACTGGAGACCGAACCCAGGGCTTTTGCACTGAGCTACATTCCCAGTCCTTTTCAGTTTTTATTTTGTGATAGGCTCTCACTTGAACTTGCCTCAGCCTCCAAGTGCTGGGATTACAGGCGTGTGTCCACACGTGTACCTTTAAGAACAATAATGGCCAGGCTGGGTGGTACCTGCTTGTAACCCCAGCTATTCTAGAGGCTGAGACAGGAGGATTGCAGGTTTGAGGCCAGTTTGGGCAACTTAACAAGACCCTATTTCAAATATATATACATATATATGTTTTATATACATATGTATATATTATACAAATATATATTATACAAACATATAATATATAATATTTATATAATATATAAAAATATATTATAAAATATATAATACATATTACATATGTATTATATAATACACAATATATACATATTATAGAACTATATAAATATATATTATACAAACATATATCATATATTATATAATATATATGTATTACTGAACTGAGGGCCTTACACTTACTAAGCAGGTGCTGTGCCGCTGAGCTACCTCCCTGCCCTCAAAATGTAAAACATAGACGTGAAAAGGCTAGGAATGTGGCTCTTGCTTGGCATGCAGGAGGCCTGGCTTCAATCTCCAGTTGCACACACAGACCGAATTTAAGGGGGCAAGCTATAGTTTAACTACTGGCATTGCACTGGGGGTCAGGTCATCTCTTCAGAGTTCCCTGGAAGGTGGTAGCATCAAAAAAATAAAATATGGATAAAGATGCGCTATTGAACATCTTCCACGTGGCAGGCGTTTGACGCATTATTTTATGCACTCCTGAAAGGTGGGAGTGTTCCATTTTACAGATTCGGAAACTGAGGCAGAGAGACGAATTGCCTTGCCTTGGATCGTATAGCTACAACGTTACTGACCCTGGGCTTCAATCTCAACATCATTAGGTGATGGTGCTGGTAAAGTGGCACCAGTCGCCTAAGTAACAGGGCAAAAATAGAGGCTGGCCTGAAATCAGGACCCCAAGTACACACTGGAGGGACCTACACCTTCCTGAGGCATGCTGGGAGCGGGTCCTGGCCTTCCTCTTTGGTGCAGAACGCAGGCTCGGTGTTCGAGAGCTGCAGGCTGGCGGCGCTCGGGGCGCTGCAGTGCCGACAGCGCCACCTACCGGGCCTCCGAGGGAGCTGGAGGCGCTCAGTGCGCAGGCGCAGTAGCGCTGGGGCGCGCCAAGAGCAGAGCGAGGGGCAAGAGGGAAGCGGCCGTATGCAGGCCGGGGAAGCCCATGACCCAGCCAGCGAAGCCGAAATCCGTCCCTCGGTAAGCCGCAAACCGCGGTAACTGCGTCACTGACCGGTTACACAGCTCAGCGCCTGCCTGGGCACTTTCGCTGGCACGGTGAGCTGGGATCTGCCGTAGGCGCCCCTCCCCAGCAGGGAAGTGATTTGAGTCTGAAAGCGAAGTGATTGTCCAAGGTGATTTGGCTAATGCATGCAGAGCCCAGTCCCCGGTTCGCCCCATCCCCGCAGCCCCTCACCCACACCACACTTGCGGTGTTATTAACAGCACTGCTTTGCTTTACAAACGCTGTAATGTTTAAGCCTCACGGCGACCCTGTGACATAGGCACCAGCAAGACCTCTATGTTACAAATAGAGAAACAGGCTCTGAAGGGTGAATGGAGCCCAGGTTGCTCTGCTATAATAGAGATCTATTATAATGGGTTTGAGATAGTATCCTACAGGCTGAGTTTTCACTGAAGGAAACTAGAATCAGTCAGTCCTGGCCAACTTTGGAGCTAATCTGGGCTTTTGTGAAGTTATCAGTTAACCTGGGCACACGCGGGCAGGAAGTGTGACTCACTTTTAACTGGCCCAGCAGACCGTTCCGCTGAAGGAATATTTGGAGTCCGATGGGAAGTCCCAACGGGCCTTCGGATGCCCATGAAATGATGTTAAGGCACGTTTGTTTGCAGGGCTTGGTATACAGCAGGTGCTCGACGCGTGTCCTTCCTTCCCTGCTCCAGGCAGCACTCAGTCCCACTTTTGACAAGGAGGAAATGGGAAGGCAGGCTGCAGCCGTGCTACTGGCCTTGTCTTTGGGACCAGAGATCCCGGGGTCCCAGCAGGGGGCAGCAGTGAGGGAGGCTGCGCAGGGAAAAAGGTCCTCCTCCCAAGAAGACAGTGCCCTCCTGGTCTCATGGTATTATGTGAGAGATACGGAGAAAAGAGAGTTATTTTAATTGCCAGCAGAATGTTGTATTTCTAAGAAACCCAAAGGGAAAACCCCTAGAAAGCAATTAGAGCTTAGGAGGAACAGTAGCATCCACAGTATCTGCAAAATTAGAAAATATAATGAAATTGGAGGCACACACAAAACGCAGCTCAGGCTTCCATCCCCTGGCTATGCCAGAGGAAGCCTTCCAAGCTGGGTATCTAATTAGACCATGCACAAGACCCTTAAAGGTGTTTCACAGTTTCCAACATCAAGCTCAAATCCCACACCAGCACCACGTGACCCCCACACACTCACACAATGCACAAACTGCTCTTGGTCAAGACACCAGATCTATGGCTTGGAGCGTCTTCTTCCCACATCCTGACCTCCACTGAGACACAGGACAAGCTCTGACTCCCCAAAATGCATCCCACAGTGTAGCGGCCCATCTGTGGGCCCTCAGGGGCCTGACCACACTATATCATTTTTTGCCCACTAGGCCATCAGCTCTATAGGAGAATGAAGAAAAAGTCATTTCTCTTTCTATTTAACCCCAGTATCAAAAAAAGCATCAGCCCATGAGAAAGTGCAAATTATAATTGGCCACAGGGCTGGGAAGGCAACAGGGATGGGCGGAGACTGAAGCACGCTGAATACTGCACACCCTCCCTCACCCTCTCTTAAACAAGGGGGCAATTATCTCTGTTTCTGCCAGGCAGCTTGGTTTTTCAAAAGAAGCTAGAAACCCAACATTTTTTTATGTGGCGTTCTGCAATTTCTCCCTGTGGCAACCAGTTCTATTTTTTAAAACCATGGAGGCCAGAAAACAGGTCGTTGGCAGTATTTCTGTAAGAGTCCCCAACTGTAATCTCGGATACAGAAAATAAACCAAAGAACCAAGAACCAAAACAGCACACAGATATGATTCCAAAATAGAGATTTATTTATTAAGGATCATTTAGTTTCTGCATAAAAATCATCCATTGTTCCTCATTGGGTTTTTTACTAAGTGCACATCAAATCTTTGGGGGTTGCTTAGTTTGCCCCAATCCGTTAAAAAATATAAGCTCTTTTTAGCGCCAGAAAGGACCGTTAAGGCAGTGAGGTGGCTTTATAAGTCTCTGCAGCTGGAGGGCACACTTCTCCCCCTCCAGAAATCCACTTGTTTCTCAGGTAGAAGAGCTGTCCCTGAAGAGAATAATTATGCAGAAAAATGTAGATACAGTCACCAATGGTCAACTGTTTGTGCCCAATAGCTTGCAAGCAAATGGTCCCTTGGTCTTCAAAAGGCTTGCTGGTTGGTCTCAGCTATTAAAAAACAAAAAAACCACTGGCCAAAGCCTGACAGTTTCTAATGACAGTGCTGTGAGGTTGATTTGTGCAAACTACACTCGAACACACACCAGTTTGTTTGTTTTTTCAAATGCCACAATAAGGATCCTGTAAAATTTCAAATCAAATTTTTCATGGACCCTAAAATACCAGAAGCATCACTCAGCCAGCTCCTCAGAGGAATAAGGGCTTCCCTATGATGTGAAGTGTGTGTTGCTCCCCCAGGGCAGTGTTCCTTGGGGTGTGAGGGGCAAAACCCTAGGATTTGATTAGAAACGTTAATTTTATTTATTTACATTTATGTTTTTGTGGTGCCAGGGATTAAACCCGGGGTCTCCCGCATGCTAACCAAGCATACGACAGCTATACCCCAAACTCTTCACAATTTTTATTTTGAGATAGGACCTCGCTAATTTGCCCCAGGCTGGGCTCAAGTTTAGGGTCCTCCTGTCTCAGCCTCCCAGGTAGCTAGGATTACAGGCATGTACCACCGAGCCAGGCTGGTTAGCTGAATTTTAATCACACTGAAATGAAGGTGCACAGTCAGTCTGTGCTGCTGTGAAAGTCAAAGACCTGGAAGAGGATCATTACTTATTGCTCCATTAGAATAAACTAAAAAAGAATGACTTAAAAAAACCCCAGGGCTGGCCTCTGCAGCCCAGGCGGGCCTGAGGGCTGAGGGCCGGGCAGCCCGCCGGCTGGGTTCACAGTGATCCAGGTTTGCTTGTTTCAGCGCGCAGCCCGCGCGGGCGTCGCCTACACCTTATAGTTGAGCTCGGCGTTCATCTTGGTGTACATCTCGTAGATGACATCGATGGTGGCCGTGTAGTTGACCAGGAAGAGGCGGATCTTCTCCAGGCACTCCTCCTCCGTCACGTTCTGCCCCTTGGAGAGCGCTTTCAGGAAGTCGGACTTGTAGGGGGCCGCGTAGAGCGCTGCCTTGAGGTGGGCGAGAGAGGAGGGGAGGAGGGCGCGACATTAGTGGGAGGCTTCCCGGGGTCCGGGGTGTGGGAAGGAAAGGAAGGTACCATCCCTTCCACCCCGGGAGCCGCGGGAAGGACCCCGGCCTGGAGAGGGACGGACGGACGGACGGACGGACAGGGCTGGGTGCAGCTGCAGCTTGGATCTCCTCTCAGGAAGCCTGCCAGTTGGTCCCTGCTGTGCTCTTGCCCGTGTTTAGAGGGTGACACTTCAGGGTTTCCCTGACAGCTGAAGGAGGCTCAGATTCACAGAACTGTGAAGCCAGGCTACGGCTGTGATAGCACAGGGGAAATATTAATAGTGTCGTCGTTTATAATGGAAATCATAGTAGCTTTGCTTTACTGAACGTAAACTACATGCCAAGCACTTGCGGCAGATCGGCTCATTTAATCTTCACAATGATCCTTGTGGGGTCATTCCTTGCTTTATACCTATTTTAAGGCCCAGGAAGGTCCGTTCCCAGCCCCCACCTCCTGAACCTTTTTTTTTTTTTTAATAAGTTCTTACTATGTTACTATGTTGCCCAACCTGGCCTGAGACTCCCGGGCTTCAATGCTGCGCCTGCTTCAGCCTCTGAGCAGCCTCAGGAGGGGTACACCGACTGTGCTCAGCCAGGGCTCCGGCTTCGGCACCGAGGGACCCAGACTTTGGCGGTGCAGCCGGGTGGGAACAGCGCCACCTCGTGGAGCACGGTCACAACTGAGGGTGGCTGCGGGCCCTGCAGGGAGGAAGCTGCTCAGGGACAGGGCAGGTGGCCCGCGGGTGGCTGTGTTTCTGCCCATGTCTGGCTCTTCCTGCCTGGCCCCAGCCTGGCCCCCGACCGGGCGTCCTGGGGAAGAGGGGCCGTGAGAGCCTGATCCTCACGGCAGCGAGGCCGCAGAAGGGAGGCTGGTACAGAGATGGGCCTGCCCACACCGAGTGGACAGGGCAGCAGAGCCAGGTGCCAGCAGCAGCACGCAGGGCACCCTGAAGGCCCTCACCTCTCCAGCGCGCTTCTCAGCCTGTCGCTGAGGGGCCCCCGGCTAACCAGGCCAAAGCCCGTATCCAGGAATGCTGGCCTGTGTCATCCTAACTCAGGTCACAAGAGCCTGCAGGCCACTGTCCTTTCAGCATATGCCATGGGGACAAAGCCCTTCCTCCCCTCTCTGCCTGTGTGAGAATCCCGGCAGCTTTGCAGGGAGGAGCCAAAAAGCCAGCCCACGCCCCACCTGTGGGCCTAGGGGGCCTTGCCAGGATACTTTCTCTCCTTCTCTGCTCTGCAGTGCTGGAGGCTGAACCCAGGGCCTTTGCACTGAGCTACCCACAGCTCTTCTTCCCAGACCCCTTTCTGAGCACGGGTTCACTAAGTCACTAAGTTTCCCAGACTGGGCTTAAACTTGGGATCCTCATGCCTTGACCTGCAGCTACTGGTCAGGCCTCCCAGGTAGTGTCTGTAGTAATGGCCACTGTGCCATGTCCTGGACTGGCCACATGCACACAAGGGCCCTCAGCCCACCAGTACCAGCTCTGCCCTCAAAGGACGGGGCCATTCCCAAACCCAGGGCAAATACAGATTCCCCAAAAATAGAGCCAAATACATGACAGAGCTGAAGCAACTGGGTGTAGTGGTGTATGCCTATGATCCCAGCACTCAGGAGGCTGAGGCAGGAGGATTTTGGTGAACTCAAGGTCAGCCTGGGCTATAAGTTCAAGGCTGGTTGGAGCCACACAATGAGACCCTGTCTCAAAAAAAACCACCTCCCCCCCAAAAAGAAGTAGGAGAATCGAGCATCCTATAATCCTAGCACTTAGGAGTCTGAGGCCTACACCTTTGTAGTTGACCTCCTGGTCACACAGTCAGACTGTCTCAGAAAAGAGGGGAAATGGGGAAAAATTGGCAGATCAGGAAACGGAATCCACAAGTCTGTGGTCCTGGCCTGGGGTAGAATGGGGTCCCTTGGTCCCCTGGGAGTGGCTCACATGAAAGATTTTCTGCACTATCCAGCCGTGGTACTTCTTGAGGGCCATCTCGTAGGCCTTGGTGGCGTTGACGCGGATGAGGTTGGGGTGGTTCTCGTCCCGCTCCCCGTCACAGATGCTCTGGAGGAAGATCTGGATGAAGCGGAGGCCTCTGGGGACAGAGTGGAGATGGTATTCAGGACCCTCGTCCACGCACCAGCGCACCCCATCCTGGCGGCCCTGCTGGCTGTGAGAGGCACCTACTGGGAGCCGAAGTGCGTTTACACAAAAGCCAGCGGCTCCCCCTCAGCTGCTATCATGGACTCCTCTTGTTTACAAGGGACGTGACTGTGCCTCAACTCAACCACCCCCAAGTCCCCTGTGCCAGTGCTGGCCCCTGACAATGCTTCACGCTAGGCTGTGAGACCCACAGAGCAGGTCTGGGCCTGCCTTGCCTATGTCTGCGGCCATGTGGCCTCTCACGGGCTGGAGCATGGCAGGCAGCCATCTGGGTTGGAGGGGTAAAGCCACAGCGCTGGCCCACAAAGAGCTCACAGAGCAGGGACACATTGGCACACCGACCAGCATGGCCCAGGCCCGCCAGGCTCCCCACAGCCACCCTGCTGTTCCTGGGTCTTTCTAAGTCAGCTACATCGAGCCTCTGCCTACCCTAAGTCTCGGTCTAGAATTCAAAGGGCCACTCTAAGAGCCAAGAGAAGGAGGTGAGGATGGCAGGGAGCCCAAATCAAAATCCAGTAAGTGCCAGCCCTGGGATTATCTGAGTGGGCTCAGAGCAGTGTCCCCAGCCCACAGAAAGCACTTGTGCAAATTACACAGAATTCCTCAAGATGCTGTGCTTTTAGCCAGGCATGGTGGCTCACACCTGTGATACCAGCACTCAGGAGGCTCAGGCAAGGGGATCACGACAAACCCGAGGCCAGCCTGGGCTACACAGGGAGACCCTGTCTCAAAAAATGAACAAAACAATTCTGTACGTCTATCAAGAAACTGTCCTAACATACAAATCTGCTTAATATATATATGACCAGCCCCACACAGACCCCTCTGCGCAATGCACAACCTGTGCAGCTGTGCTTGTGTGACCTGGCCCTCGGGAGATTTTCCCAGCCACTGATCAGCATCAGCCCTGCCCTCCCGGGAGGGTATCTGAACCCAGCTGGCACTGGCAACCACCACTTCCCCCCTCCACAGTGTGAGGGCGACTCCAGGCCGTCTCCGAGCCCAGCACCTTTTCAGCCACATCAGCGCCAGCGTGGCCCCCACTTTGGGCCATTCTGCTCCATACATTTCCTTCTCCACTTCCAGGATGTTCTGCAGGGTCCGGAACTTGGCTGGGTCAGTATCGTACACGGCTTTGATTTTCTGAAATGCAGGACATGGGGTTTTCCTTCTGGAAGGGCTTCCCCCATAGATAGCACCTCCATACAAGGGGGAGGAGCAACCACAGGCCCCTCATCTGCCTTCCCCACTGCCTGTCGGAACAGGAACTGACAATGTTTGTGTTTGTTGAGTGCTTCCCGTGGGTCAGAGCACACTAAGTACTTCGTGGGTGCTGCCTTATAAGATGCTCAAGTGTTGCTCTGTCGGTACCCAATCTACAGATAAGGACACTGAGGCTCAGAGAGGGACAGTGACATGCCCAAGGCCACATAGCAGGTGCAAGTGGGAGTGGAGACTCCAGGATCATCTTAGGATTCAAGGATGTCCAGGCTCAGTGGCCTCTGAAGCACCTGGGGGGCTCTGGGTGTGAATCCCAGCTCTGCCACTTTCTTGCTGTGACCCCGAGTAAGAGTGACCTCAACCCCTTTGAGCTGAATGGATTTCCTGAAATAAAGCACATGGGAACAACAGAAGCAGCCTCCCAGGGCCGCTGGGATGTGGAAATGAGACCGTGGGGTGGGTCCGAAGGCCTCTGAGCAGGCCCTCACAGGAGGGCGATGGCATAGGGAACCCCCAGAACTCAGGGGCAAGTGAGTCAGGCCACGGCCGCTCATGGGCTTCGGAGGGTTTTGTATTTTGCAGGACTAGTGACAAACTCAGGGCTTTCCACTGAGCTACACCCCAGCCCTTTCTATTTTAAAACAGGGTCTCACAATGTCCAAGCTCAGCTCAAACTTGCAATCCTCCTGCCTCAGCCTCCTGGACTGCTGGAATTACAGGTGTGTGGCTGGAGGTTACTTCTCTTTGGACAAAGGTGAACAAAAGACCCCTTCTCAGGGTGGACCCTTAAGACTCTGGTCCCACCCAGGCTGAACCTAGATGGCTGGACCCGAGCAGGAGCAGAGCCGGGGCCCTGCCGTTTCCTCCTCTTCCCCCTGCTGGAAGTTCCTGGCTGCCAGGCCAAGTACTAACCGTGATGTTGCCACTTATGTCTGCCTTGATGGGCATGAACACCGCGGACCCGAGACAATCTGGAGACAGAATGACAAGACAGAATTAAATTCCCCACAAGGGTAATAAGACCACCATGCTCCACTGAGGACTGGGGACTTCAGGGGAGGAAAACTGGAAGGCTTTGTGGGCCAGCAAATTGGGGGAATCCTGCGCTCCAGGTGAAACTGGGTTTACTGCAGGACTTGTCAGAGCCTTTAAAGCTAGATGGAATATCTAAGAGACAAACCCGTTGTCTACACACCTCTTTCCTTAGAGCAGAACTTCCTACGGTGATGAAAACGCTCGGTCTCTGCACTGTCCAGAAGGGCACCTGCATGATGCCAAGCACTTGCAGGCGGGGTGTCTGCCTTCAGTTCCCTGAGCCTCACATTCCCTGCTAGTAAATGGGACAACAGAACCCAGAACAGAACTTGAAAGAGTCCAGTTCCAGTATGTGGTCTGTTCACATCTCTGGAATCACAGTGTTCTTCAACAGAAGCATCTGTGCTTTCCCGGCAGGATGCCACACGGAACACCTTCTGGCAGGTGAGAGGCAGCCCCAGGCATGGCCCGGCCGTGTTGGAACTCTGGGCTCGCTCCATGAGAAAGCTCTCCCTGTCCCCTCCTTCATCCCCCTGGCAGGTCGTCATGAGGACCAGGCAAAGCTCCCTGCACAGGACACAGTGGAGGATACATTTGTGAGATCCCCAGGTGGCCCTCGCCTGGGGCCTGCAGGGGACAGCTACACCCCCTCGCCCTCCTCAGCCACCTTGCTGGCTTCAGAGAGGCAGATTCAGTAAGCTGGACACAGAGCCTGGGGGACAAGGACCCCCAGGTGGGCCAAGGTCCGATGCCAACCCACAGGAGGGACACGCCGCTGCCCGGGAGGGCAGTCTCTGGGCATGTGAGGAATCCCCAGGCTGCATTCCGGCCAGCTGGAACGCGCTAACTGCCGCTGTGACATGAGGTACTCGGAGTCAGCATGAGCCGCTTAAACCAAACCCCCACTGCATGGTGGGAAGCAGGCAGGAGATGGGTTCTGCACCGTGCGCTGGCCGCTGCTCAGCCAGGTGCTCGGTTCGCCTCACCTCTGCGTGCCGTGGTTTCCTTTCGTGTCCAGAGCAGCAGCAACAGGACTCAAGGATGTCACAGGAGTAAACAGTGCAGCAGACTGGGGGTGTAACTCAGAATGTGCTCAGAATGTACCAGGCCCTGGGTTCAATTCTCAACATGTACCAGGCCTTGGGTTCGATAAATAAGCAAGAAGAATAAAGCAACAGACCTGCTTGGCAGAACACCTGTGCTCAGTGAACACGCGATAATTAGGCCTAAATTGTCCGGCCTCACATCATTCCAGGGTCGGGGTCCACTGTCTAGTCAATGTCCATGAGCCTCTGCTGCATGGGGACCATCCTCAACCTGCAGCCCCGGCCACTCACTCCCCGTCCCTCCTCCCCAGCTGCAGGCAGCTGACACCGTGCAGTGGACCCTTCTCTCCAGGATCACTTCACAAGTGACTCTGAGGTGCTGGGCTGGATGCAGGCCACCTGCTGCCCCTAAGCCTGGGGGCTCTGGCTCCCAGCCAGCCTGCAGAGGTCATCAGTGCGGTCACCACCCCATCCGCCCTTAGCCTTGCCTGATGTGCCCTGGACATCCTGGCCAGTCAGACCTGTCATCTGTTAGTCCCCTGCAGAGCCACTCAGACTGAGTCGCTATTATGTGCTGATTACGTGACTATCTCCTCCTTGGCACTTTAAACTGATCTTCAACCACACCCTTCAAACAAGGAAGAGGGGACCAGAGCTTGCTGACATCACTGACAACCCTAGGAGTGTTACTAGCTATTCTCAAAGACTCAGGTTCTTCAATTTGCTTCCCCTCCCCCCCAGTATTATGGATTTAACCCAGGGATCTAACTTCTTATTTTTTGACACAGGATTTGGCCAGGTTGCTCAGGTTGGCCTTGCAATCCTCCTGTTTCAGCTTCCCAAGTAGCCAGACGTGTGCCACCGAGCCAGCTTTGATGTGTATTTTAATTTTTTTTTTTAATTGGTACCAGGGATGGAACTCACGACCCTGCACTTGCAAGGCAGGCGCTTATGCTGCTGAGCTAAACCCCCAGCCCTTGATGTGTATTTTAGAGAAGCAGATAAAAATGTTACTGGACTTTCTCGGCCCTGAACAAGGTTCTGGTGGCAGGGAAAAAGGCTTTTTGTTTTGGGTCCTCCTGACAGTGTGCTCTGAGGGTCACGGGGCTGCTGTGGTCAGCAGTCACGGGCCCCAACAGCAGCACTTATTGTGTGCTGTGGCCACCACACAGCGAAGTGGCTTCTGCTCGGCTGTGGGGAGAGAATGTGCTGGCTGAAGGATACCAGCGGCTGGGGCCCTGCAGAAGCAGTGTGGATTCAGATCCTAGAATCCGCTTTCCTGTTACACCTGGAGGACCAGGAGCTTCCGGAAGGGGCCTCTCTGTGATTGGTGGAGAGGCAGCTGACTGCTCTAAATCCAGCCGGTGCTGGGTTCAAATCCTGACTTTGGCCAAGTGACATAAGGAGTTGGGGTCAGGTCCTTCAGTTCCTACAGTCCAGAGATGCTGTGCAAATATAAGCATCCCAGGCACAGGCGGGCCAAAGCCTGCCTCAGTATCACCCTCTGAAGGCCCTGGGCCTGTTTGTTCATAGTGCAGTTGGAGGACACCAGGTCCAAAGAGGCCAAGGCCACAGAATGAGAGCCAGGAACTGGGAACCCATCACAGAGCTGAAGCTGGTTCTGCTAGGCCCGGGCCCTTCTTTCTAGTATGTTCCCATGTGGGAATTCAAGGAAAACAAGGGACTCCGACAGGAAATACACTTAAACTCGTCTGGCTCCCAGACAGCGTGACAGCCCTCTGGCAGGTTACCCGGCCCTACCTTGCCTTCAGATGCAGCCTGCCCTGAAACTGCCTTTCTCGTCCTACCAGTTTGGCAGTTACCCCAAACTTGTTCTGTCTTAATTGTTGTCAGCAAACAGGCTACTTAATATGCCAGCTGGAACCTGTCTGCCTAGGGGCAGGGAGGGGGCCTGCGTGGCTTTCTGGTTCTGGGCTCCCTCCACAGAGACAAAGAAACAAATCAGGTACAACCCCACCTTCTTTATAAGCCTTGGACACAGATTCTAAATACACTAAAGCCCTGGTTATCTAAGATACTTGACAAATTTCCCCTTTGTTTAGTGGAAAAAATTTGTTTCTAACATACTGTTCAACTCAGAAGACATCAGAAAAAGACCAACAAATCTTGATTATAAAAACCAGAAACTTCTTACACAGGAGAGAGGGAAGATCCTGCCATCAAAGCCAAATAACAAACTGGGGTTTGGGGGTGTTGTGGGTGTAAAAAATACAATAGATACAATGCTATTATCCCTAATATGGAAAGATTTCTTCCAGCATCGATAAGGAAAAAACTCCCAGCCCTGTAAGACAATGGACAGTTCACAGAAGAAATGAAAAGATGCTTAATCTCAATAATAGAAAGAAAATAAAATAGAACAGTGAAACATTTTCCATCTACCAAATAGTTCTATGAATGTACCAACTTTTCTCTAGTCCAACCATTTAGGATGGAATTCACCAAAATGTAGTACAAATGTCCCTGCTGTCATAAACAAGCCATTTGTAACTTTCTAAACTGGGCCATCATCAAAAATACATGTAGTAGAACCAGGCGTGGTGGCTCACGCCTGTGATCCCAGCACTTGGGAGGCTGAGGTGGGTGGATCGTTTGAGACCAGCCTGGGCTACAAAGTGAGCTCAAGGCCAGCCTGAACTGCACAGGGAGACCCTGTCTCAAAAAGACAAAAAAAAAAAAAAAAAAAGTGTGCGCCTGTGTGTGTGTGTGTGTGTGTGTGTGTGTAGTGGCACACACCTACAGTTTTGGTTACTTGGGAGGCTGAGGCAGGAAGATAAAAAATTCAAGGCCAGTCTTGGCAACTCAGTGAGTTCCCATATTAAAAAAAAAAAAAAAAAAAAAAAAGGAAAAGAACATTCTTCCTGCTGGTTGGTGGCTACACCTGCCTGTTCTGTCTGCAGCGCTTTGCTAGATACCTAAAAAGCCAACAACCAGCTGGGGTTTTGGCTCAGTGGCACAAGCACCTGCATGGCATGCGCAAGGTCATAAGTTCAATTCCCAGTGTGGAAAAAAAAGCAAACCAACAACCAAGCATTCCAGAGCCACCAACAAAACAAAAGCATCTTGTACAACCTCTGGGACAACTCTGGATGGACAGGGGCCACACCAGGCCTCCTGGCTGGGTCTCCAGTGCCCAGCGGGGAGTCCCTGAGGCATAGGAGCAGTTGCTGTCAGCTGCCCAGCAGCAGGCTCACTTCCTCTTTTTCAGGCCTCCCCACAGTCAGAGAGCACTCGTGGGCCCAGCGCTCTGAGCTAGACCGCAGCAGCCCAGCTGGGAGGTGGCTCAGCAGTGCAGCCCCTGCTTAGCACACACCCGTCACAGATCGGATCCAACCCCTGGCATCACAACAGAAGCCTGCGGTACGCATCTGGAAATTTCCAGGCTGCCCCACAATGCTTTAATCCCTTTTCATGGATGACGTGCCCCTTTCAGCAGTGAGGGGTTGCCCCGGCTGGGCCCCGCTCTGATTTCATCTCAGGCACACTTCCCTTCTTTTGTGTGTGGGCGGGGGATCAAACTCAGCACCTTGCGCTTGCTAGGCAGGCACTTATACCACTGAGCTACATCCCTGGCCTCGGCCCTCGGCACGAGACCAACATGAAATGAGCACTGTTTCTGAGATGCGCAGTTCACTTTCCACCTGAATGATCGGGAAAGGAACACACCCAACCCAATCCAGAGGGATTTATTTCCAAAAAGGAGGAGCAAGGGGCCGTATTAAAATTCGAGCAGCTCGGCTGGGGATTTAGCTCAGCGGCATAAGCGCCTGCCTTGCAAGCAGGCAGTCGTGAGTTCGATCCCTGGTACCGACAAAAACGAAAAAGACAAAAAAAAAAAAAAAAAAAAAAAAATTCGAGCAGCCCGAGGTGGGAGGTTCTGTTTTACATTCAACTCTTTCTCATAGCTGTGTAATAAAGTTCAGTTGTTAAACACAGAAGGCAGATTAACTTTACAGAGCCTGGGTTACAAAGATCATAATGGAGGCTCTCAAATTACACCCAGGGAGATGAATCATTTATCCACGGGACAGGGGTGTCACCGCTCAGGTCACAGGGAGGCCCGTTTTGAAGGACAGGAACCTGCAGGGTGCCCCCGTTTCTAAAACTGGTTCCTGCTCTGCACTGTACAACCTAAAAAGGAAAGCATGTTTATAAAACAATTCAAAATATTGTTTTAAAAAGTCACTCATAGCATGCCAACCCTCTGTCCATAACTGCCTTCTCTGGGGGGGGGGGGGGCTGAATTGGGAATGCAGTTGGGAAAATTAGTTCTCTGACTTACTAGGTGGCCTGAGAGAAATCTGCTCACTTTCTAAGCCGTAAGTTCCTCATTTGTAAAAAAACGAGGCTAATAATGACCCACTTCCCAAGGTTGTTGTGAGGTTTAAATGAAATTGTACAAAGAGACTAGGGCTGGGCGTGGTGGTACACACCTGTAGTCCCAATACTCTGGGAGCTGAACCTTAGAAGATCACAGGTTCAAACTCAGACTAGGCACTC